CCCCCCCCGCAACCTCAACGCCTTCCCCCTCACTGCCACCGCCATGCCCCCCATCTCACCCTCCCACCCCACTCTTTCTGACCTAGCATTCCACGCGTAGAGGCATCGATCGCCCCCCGAACCTCCATTTAAGGAAACGCGTTGAGGTGTCGGAATCAAAGTGTGGTGGGGGTGGGGGGGGCGCTGGTGGGGAGTGGGGTGTGGGGGAGGAGTGAAAGTATGAATGGCAGGTTGTGTTGGATGATCAGCAGTGGTTCTCCCTTAAACATGGAGCTCGTTCGAAGGGCAAAATGCTTATGATTCTCTCGAGGTACGTGGGTGTCGCTGGCTGGGCCCAGCGTTTATCACCCGTCCCAAGGTGCCCCTTGAGAAGTGGAGCTGCCTCCTTGACCGTGTGCTGCGGGGTGACCCTTAGGGAGGGAGTTCCAAGATTGCGACCCAGCCACACTGAGGGAACGGGGATACATTTCCGAGTCGGGATGGGTGAGTGGCTCGAAGGGGGGCACCTTGCGGGGGGAATGGGTGTTCCCATTTACCTGCTGCCCCTTGTCCTTCTGGATGGAAGTGGGTCATGGGGTTTGGAAGGTGCTGCCTGAGGGTCTTTGGTGAGTTTCTGCAGGGCATCCTGTAGATGGTACACACTGCTGCGACTGTGCCTGGGCGGCGGAGGGAGCGGGATGTTTGTGAATGTGATGCCAATCGAGGGGGGTGCTGTTTTGTCCCTGGACGGTTGTCGGAACTGCACCCCACACCGTCCAGGGCAAGTGGGGAGTATTCCCTCCCCAGTCCTGACTTTTGCCTTGTTGATGGTGGGACAGGCTTTGGGGGAGTCAGGAGGGGAGTTACTCTCTGCAGGTAGACAGGGCGGTGAAGAAGGTGTTTGGTACGCTTGCCTTTATTGGTCAGTGCGTTGAGTGTAGGAGTAAATAAAGTCCTGTCCTGGCCAACCTCTCCCTGTAACTTCCGTGTCTCCCGGTCACAATCCTGGAACTCCCTCCCGAAGGGCACCGTGCTGGGGGTGGGGAGTCCCTACACCACATGGGGAGGGTGTGGGAGCAGCAGCAGTTCAAAACAGTGGCTCACACCACACCCCCCTTAAGGAGGGGGGGGGGGGGCAATTAGGGGGGGAATAAATGCTGTTTCCAGCCAGCAATGCTTGGATGAACCAATCCCGTGTGGAGATGTGTACCAGTGGGAGGAACAGGCCACTCAGCCCCTCGACTCTGCTCTCCCATTTCAATGGCACAGTGACCAATTGGATTCCTATCTGCCTATCAGAGCTGGACACGAAACATATGTTTTAGCTGGCGTCGTCGATTGGTAGACAGACTCTCCCACAAGAGGGGAACACCCTGTCCGCATCCGGCCTGTCAAATCCCTTCGATATCCTGGATGTTTTAATCAGCTTGCCTCTCCCTCTCCTAAGCCGCAGCAGATACAAAGCCATAGTCTGTCTGGCCTTCCCTTGTAAAACCAGCCTCCCATTCCAGGTATTTGTCGAGCAAAGTTTCTCTGAGTTGCATCACTGCTCATCAGTCCCTTGCACGTTTCAGATTTGTTTTCCAGTTAGAAAGTCACAGAGCTGTACGGCAAGGAAACAGACCCTTCAGCCCAACCCGTCTGTGCCAACCCAGATATCCTAAATTGATCCAGTCCCATTTGCCAGCGTTTGGCCCCTATCCCTCTAGGCCCTTCCTATTCGTGTACCCTTTTAAATGTACCAGCCTCCACCACATCTTCTGGCAGCTCATTCTATACACGCACTACCCTCTGCATGAAAACATTGCCCCTTGGGGGTCCCTTTCCCCCTCTCACTTTAAATCTATGTCCCTCTAGTTTTGGACTCCCCTACCCCGGGGGGAAAAGAACTTATCTGTTTACCCTATCCATGCCCCTCATGATTTTATAAACCTCTATAAGGTCACCCCCTCTGACGCTCCGGGGAAAACAGCCCCAGCCTCTCCCTGTAGCTCAAACCCTCCAATGTCCTTTTAAATCTTTTCTGAACCCTTTCAAGTTTCACGACATCCTTCCCGTAGCAGAAAGACCGGGATTGAACGCAGTATTCCAAAAGTGGCCTCACCCATACAGCCGCACCTTCCCAACTCCTACACTCAACGCACTGACCAATAAAGGCAAGCATACCAAACACCTTCTTCACCGCCCTGTCTACCTGCAGAGAGTAACTCCCCTCCTGACTCCCCCAAAGCCTGTCCCACCATCGATAAGGCAAAAGTCAGGACTGGGGAGGGAATACTCCCCACTTGCCCTGGACGGTGTGGGGTGCATGAGGAGAATGAGGGGTGACCTTTTTGAGGTGTGTGAAATCATGAGGGGCATAGAGAGGATGAATGCAATAAGTCTTTTTCCCAGGGATGGGGAATTGAAAATTAGAGGGGCATAGGTTTAAGGTGAGAGGGGATAGATTTAAGAAGGACCTGAGGAGCAACTTCTTCACACAGAGAGTGGTGCCTGTATGGAATGGGCTGCAGGAGGAAGTGATTGAGGCAGGTACAGTAGCAACATTTAAAAAATATTTAGATAGGTATGTGAATGGGAAGGGTTTAGAGAGAAACGGATAAAATGCGGGCATTTGGAACTAGGTGAGTGGGAACCATGGTCAGCATGGACCAGTTTGTGCCGAACGGCCTGATTCCATGCTATATTACTCTATGACTAAGAGCAGTTAAAGGCTGGGAATCCTGCAGAGAGTAACTCACCTCCTGACTCCCGCAAAGCCTATCCCACCATCAACAAGGCACAAGGCAGGAGGTGGGGGGAGGGAATACGCCCCCACTTGCCCCTGGACAGGGCAGCTCTGACAAACACTCGAGAAGCTCGACATCGTCCCGGAGCAGAACAGACAAAGAAATTCACCAAAGACCCTCAAGCAGCACCTTCCAAACCACACGACCCACTTCCATCCAGAAGGCCAAGGGGCAGCAGGTACATGGGAACACCCAGCTCTCCTCCTGCAAGATCCCCCCCACCCCGAGCCCCTCCCCATCCCAACTCGGAAATATATGCCCGTTCCCGCAGTGTGGCTGGGTCACAGTCCTGGAATTCCCTCCCTAAGGGTCAACCCACAGCACATGGACTACAGCGGTTCAAGAAGGCAGCTCACCCCCACCTTTTTGGGGGGGTGGGGGCAACTAGGGATGGGGCAATAAATGCTGGGCCAAGCCATTCTCTCTCAATGGGAACCGCCCAGGATGTTTATAGTTGGGGGGGCGCGATGGTTAGATTCTCTCTCAATGGGAACACCCCCAGGATGTTTATAGTTGGGGGGGCGCGATGGTTAGATTCTCTCTCAATGGGAACCCCCAGGATGTTTATAGTTGGGGCGGGGGAGTGATGGTTAGATTATCTCTCAATGGGAACCCCCCCAGGATGTTTATAGTTGGGTGGGGTGATAGTTGGGTTCTCTCTCAATGGGAACCCCCTGAGGATGTTTATAGTTGGGGGGGGCAATGGTTAGTTTCTCTCTAAATGCGAACCCCCCCAGAATGTTTATAGTTGTGGGGGGGGAACGATGGTTAGATTCTCTCTCAATGGGAACCCCCTGAGGAT